TAAACCTAACCCCAAGGTACTAGAATTATAGCTTTACCCAATATTAACCCTAAACCTAACCCCAAGGTACTAGAATTATAGCCTTCCCCAATATTAACCCTAAGCCTAAAACTTTAAATTGGAATTTCAAACCAGTTTGAAAAATYCAAACTGGTTTGAAAAATTCAAACCAGTTTTAAAAAATTCAAACCAAGGCACATTTCAAACCACAACATAACCAAAACCTGCAAAGAGTGAACAAAAAGACTGGGTCGTCAATATAAATCAAGCACGAGGCCACAGCACGAGTTTTTGATCTGGCACGAGTACTCTATTACTGTATACATTAAAATCTTTGAAGTTTAGTACATGCGAACTCTTTCCTATCTTCCCCTTCCTTCAAAGCTATGAGACTCTCCAACTTCAATGGCTGAAAGGGCGTTCAGGATGCCCAAAGCCAGAAATGGCCGCGCCATTGGSAGCATCTTGTTATAGTCTTAATGCGACTAAATACGAGATACAAAGACCATCAACTTGGCGCGCAACATTGTTCCTGTTCAAGTTGAGTATCGAAGTTTATCGTTTTTCATGCATCGTCAACTTGTCATGCAACAAAAATACATCGCAACAAAAACGAGAAACATCCGATCGATGATCAACTTGAACAGAAACAATGTTCCGTGTCGAGTTCCTCGTATTAGCCGATAGTGGAGTCTGTTGTGGTTATATATATCCTGCCGAGATTTGAGATTGACATTTAGAAGAATAAAGACAAGGAATAATATGCAAATGAATGGATCTCACCTCATTTTCACTCAACTGGAAACAAACAAGAGCTACATGAGAACGCTATGAATTCGCCGCTTAAAGTGAGGAGACTGATTCTCGCGTTCGTTTTCTGTTGTTGTGTAACACTTGTTTTTATTTGGTTAGGTCTGCAYGCGCAAGACAAKGCTTTACAAATGCCGACTATGAAAAGATCATACCGCGTGGGTTGGCGATACAATTCAAGAAAGCCATTAATGACCCCTCATTTTAACGAAACTAAAGCATTTCTGGTGATTATTGTTACTTCTGCGCCGGGAAACATCGATAAAAGAAACGCTATACGAAAGACATGGGCGAATTTCAGTCGCTCGATGACACAAAAAGAACACAAGACAATTAAAACGTTTTTCCTTCTGGGACTCTCAAACCTCAACGACAGCATTATTTTGGAGAATCAAGAATACAACGATGTATTTATTGGATCATTTCAAGACTCCTATAGAAATCTTGTGCATAAAGTAATCTTGGGATTAAAGTGGGTTGMAAATACAATGGAGTTCGACTACCTGCTCAAATGCGACGATGACATATATMTAAATGTGCCTTGTTTATTGAGATGGATAAAAAAAGAACAGTCGAGTTTTCCTGATAGACTTTATTCTGGTAGGACCATGAGCCATATCAAACCTGACCGAAGACCTGATAGTAAATGGAGAATAACAAAAGAAGAATATCCTCTTGATCTTTTTCCTCCATATGCGAGTGGYGGAGGATACATTGTCAATCAGGCAAGTGCTCAACATATTTTACTGTCATCTCAAATCGTAAGAACTGTTCCAGTAGAAGACGTTTACATTGGCATGTTAGCACATTATTCTGGAATTAAGCCTTATGACATGAGGGAAASTTGGCAATATCAATCTATTGAAACGTTTTTAAGTTTTACGCATTGCAAAATGAAAAAATTGTTTCTCTTTCAACATTCTTTCAGCTCGAGTGACATCATGAAGCTACATTCAAAAGTAATGCAATATGAAGCAATGGCACCGTCTACGGTTATGAGATCATGCGTCAGCGAACGTCTTTCACTGATAGCCTGGGTTTCGTTTGCTATATGTTTTATTATTTTACTTGGTGCATTTCTGTMTCGTTTGATTCTGAGAGGATCACGCACGTCGTTAAAGAGCCTGCATGGTTAATAATACAGCTTTATATTTCAGAAAAAATAAATACCGCATATACACCTAACCAAAAAAATTCTGCAACTTTAATATAGAGATAGAGATAGAGATAGAGATAGATAGCTTTATTAAATCCTTTGCAGCCATAAAGCTGGATAACGGACAATTACAAAAAAAATAAGCAATAAATATATATATAATAATATATGAAAAATTAAGGATTGAAAAATTGAATTACTTAAAAAGCTAAGATATAAATATATTGTATATGATTAAAAAWTTGAAAAATGGTTAATACTATTGAATATAATAAAACTTTGTTTAAATCTATTTGTACGACAAATTGGTGTGTTGAATGTTCGCCTCCTCCTGAGGGTTATGTTGGTGGACTTGCGCGGAGGTAATAGGCTATACAGCTTATGGTTACTGTCATCATTAATTTCTTTGAAGAGCTGCTCTGTCAGGTCTTTGCGCCGTTGATGAAGGGTCGTCATGCYGTGTTCATTAAGAGCTTGCTCATAGTTCAGGGCGGGTGAGATTATCTTAAGAGCTCGTCGCTGAATTGTTTCTAGCTCTTCAGAGAGGTAGCGAGGATGACCATCATGGAAAGTCTGGCACGCATATTCTGTTACAGRTCTGATACAGRTTTTGTAGAAACACATCAGTTGGTCAGGAACGGCGACTCTGACTAGTTTGTCTGTGACTACGAGTTTGYATCCCGCGAGGCGCGCGATCGTGACGTAATATACCACAGGTAACCCACCGCCCGCGCCGATTCGATAACATAATATAAAAGCGTGCGCATTCATTCTTTTCTTTCTCTCAAGCAATAGTTGGGTAGCCTATGCCTAAACCCACAGCGCACGCCGATTCGATAACATAATATAAAAGCGTGCGCATTCATTCTTTTCTTTCTCTCAAGCAATAGTTGGGTAGCCTATGATATAACCAAATCCCATTGCATTGTACATCGCCGTTCAAAARGAGTTCTCGTGATTTCACTGAAGAGATTTACAATGCCAACTCGGTACACAAACAAGAACTTTAATATACGAAATCAATTAAGTTTATAATTGTCACCAATTACTTAATATGTGCTAAGTCTTGCCTAAGTCTAATTCATACTCATATTCATATTCATATTCATAGTTGAGAAATATGTGAGGCGTGAAAGGCCGCGCACGTGCGCTTCTGCACAAGTATTACTCATCAGAACTCAACAGGCCAGCTACAGATTTGACGATAAACTTCATTACTTTAACCAGTTTTTTTTATTAATAAATTAATGTGCAGCTCAAAATTCTTGTTGAATTCAATCTTTTGTCGTTTTGTACCAGAAGCTCAAAGGAATCAAGATCCATGCCTCACTGAGTTCATATGTTCATATGTTCACACTATAAACTATTCCGCATTTAGATCAAAGAATGATAAAAAAAACATTATCATTAAAGTGGTTTTCATAGACCCGTGAAACAAAGTGTAATAATTAGAGTGTAATAKATCGTAGAGTGCAAGTCACATAAGCATGAAACAATTCTTAACTATGGATTGCTAAATAAGATTTAGTTATCAACAAACTAAGAATTGAGAACAATGCTACAAAGGAATATTTAAATAATTGGCATTGTGTTTATGCTTTGTTGAATTCTTAGTTAGTTGATAACTARATCTTATTTAGCAATACATATTAAGAATTGTTTCATGCTTATGTGACGTGCACTCTAATAGTCGCGTAGAGACAATAAAACACAAAATAGCCAAAGTGTAATAGCGATAAATACGCTAACTTGTGTTTCACGGGTTAATGAAAACCACTCTATCATTATTCCGTATTTGTCATTGTCTATTTCACGTGTAGAATATATTACTTGCACTCTACTGTGAATTTAATTTTTTTGATGCATATATAATTTACGTTGAAGCTATAATAATTCTGTAGCAATTGGCGACTTTCGGCTGATCTTTGATGCTGTGCGGTCAATCTACTTCAAGAGTAATCTGCTTATCACTATCTTTTAGAACGATTATCTAAAAAGGGCTTTAATGTTTTGTAAAACTCACTTTGGTTTTGCATTGAGATCATCAGTTACTTTACTCCAGTATTGTTTGATTGCTTTT